CTACTGATAAAAGCAATTATTTTTTAAAAAATATAGTTCAGACACATGAATAATGTAGTAAATCTATCTTATGGGTCTCCATCACTGACTAAGCCTGTGAGCTATGTTATTTTAAAGGGGCTTAGATAAAACTCAGAGTCATATCTGCAAGTTGTTTGAATATACGTTTGTGAACGAAGATATTGTAACATTTATTACTGACTTTTAAGAGCAGGAGATATAAGGGACAAATGATGGACTGATCACCTCTGCAAGTAAAGCTGCATTGCTGAAAACCGATTGCCTTCCTTATTTCTGTCTGCTTTTGTTTTCAGCATTCTGAACACCAGAAAACTATATTAAGCTTGTTCAGAATCATTCACAGGTTCATTTCAACAGTCTTTGGCCTGTAAATTTACCAGTTTGAATACTCAGTACTTGGATTCTCATTCATATATGTTTGTCACAACTAGAACAAAAAGTGAGTTGGGTACACATGTACACATACACGACTGGGGAATGTTACTGGTAGAATCACAGTTGTAGCAGAGATTTTTCTTCTGGCAATGTTCATCAATGTTTGTATGCTCTTTTTCTAGGACTCTTCTAGCCCGTGAGACTATCTGCTGAAATATTCATGAACAGTGAACATAGATGGTGTATGGGAACTGCTGAATCACAGCCTGAACCTCTGAACACCTGAGGTGAGCACTGAGTCAGCCCTGGGAGCACAGGTGAAGGCAGTTCACCTGTGCTGCTAGAAGGAGTGGAGCCTGGCTGTACCTCTCCTAGGGCCATGTAAGAGCTCACTGCCAGGAGGAAAGGGTCTCTTCTGGAGATCCCTTCTCTGGAGTTTTGCAGTGAGTCCAGGATGCAGGTAAGCATTCTATCTATTCTCTTTTTGTTTTTATAGCCTGCTTTGTCTAACTCTCTTGTTTATTTTGTAATTATAGCATCTTTATGTTTATAGATTATACAGATGGGAATAAATATGCTTGCAGTGAATTAATAACAAAACATGAATATGCTCAGGAAAAGTTGTATATTTTTTGCTTGGCTCTTGTCTCTCAAGATACTGAGCCTAGTAGCTGATAGTGCTTTTCCCTGAAACACTGAAATCTGGATTCTGAGATTGCAGAACTCGGGCAGTACGAAAGTATGAAACCTGGCCATTCTTAACACAGAATGCCCTTATTGGAAGAAAAATTCTTTACTATATATGGCGAGTCTCCAGTGCCTGCTGTCATGCAAGCCACAGTGGCTCAAGGAGGCAGCAGAGAAAACAATTCCTCAGGAGGACAGAAAACCAAAGTAATACATTCTGTCAGTTTTCTTCCAGTGTCTCCTATTACTGGTGGCTGTGAGTCCAATGTAGCAGGGGCCAGTGAGAGGGTGAGATGAAAAGTTCTGTGGCATCACTTTTTTTTTCTTATTTTTTTTTTCCTTCACTCCTGCTGCTCTTCAGCTGTATCTTGTCTTCATCAGAACTAATTCAGTTAATTCTCCATTCTAAAATGAGTCAGTTGTTGTTGGTGCACAGTTGCATAGCAACATCTGCCACTTGCAGGCAGAGATAACAGGCAAGCAGGGATGCCAGTGTGTGCCTGGCCCAGGAAGGTGAGGAACAAAAGGAGCAAAGCAGATTGCTACTCCGTAGGGTTTTGTAGCTGTGCGTCACACTGCTACAAACTGGCAGATATATCAGAAGGGCAGGGTTTGATTTCATTTCTAGAACCAGATTTTGGAATAAAACATACCATCTCAGTGCAGGACACATCCTTCCTATCTCAGGACTTCCTTCAAAAAATACAAAGGAAATTGTGGGATGAGAACTTCAGGGCTTTTTGCCATCCCCTTGTGGGTAGTTTTGTGTGGGAACGTACTTTAGCTCTCTGTGGAAATGTTCAAACCACATCTTTATGCACAAAAGTCAAGAAACACAAAAGTTAAGAGTCAGAATGGGCAGCACCAATCACATTCAATGATTCCAGAAGATCCACATGGTCTTAAAAATCTTGCTATTTCAAAAGAAAAATCTGGAAATATATATTTAGAATTCAGATTGTCTACAATTATTTTATCTTTTTAATAGAAGGTCGGGATGGCAAACACATTTCTCCATAAAGATTTGTGAATAAAGTTCCTAGTACAGTCAGAAGCACAATAATCTTTATGCCTTCTTCACAACCCTAAATTGCAAAGGATGAATTTGGGGCAGGGGGCAAACAGAATTTTATTAAGTCTTACAGGCTCTTGTAGAGAAATATCAGCTGGAGATGTTGCAGTGTCCTGCCTAAGTATGCTGAGTGGAAGACTTAACCAACCCCAGATCAGCTGACAAGACATGCTGCCCAGCCCCCTCATCTTTCCCCCCCCCTCCTGTTTGTGCTGTGAGTCAGAACATCTGGTCTGATGACTTAAACGGAAGTCGCTGCTTTAGTATGTTGTTTTCCCTTCACAAACTCAGGCTTCGATTGCACTGTATGTAAGAAATTGAACTTACAGGAAGAGAGAAATATCAACAGCGTATGTAGTGCTCCAAGGCATCTTTCTGTCACCTGCTAGCCAAAAGCAGTATTTACTGAACTTGACACTCTTCCTGTGACAGCACTATCAAAGCTTCATGCTCTTATCTCTGTCCCAGTTGTGCCTTGTGGGGACTCTGAATAGGGAACTCAGGGCCCTATCTACTGGATAGACAGAAAGGCTAAGTACAGATATACCAAGAAGATGGTTTTTTGATGCAGAACACTTCCTGGGCTGTATTTTCAGAGGGCATATACCAAATAGACGCCTAAATTTATATAAAGATTTAATCATGCAAGTAGATGCTCAGGGGTGACACTGTACAAGTTATATGGAAGCTTTGGGAACTGCAGGTATTCGGAGGGTGCAGGAGAGACATCTCTTAGGCATGTAAGGATGCACAACTGCACTTAGCTTTGATTAAGCAGCAAGAAAAGATTTGGCACAAACACAAATGTTCACATTCTCTTTGCATTTTATTGAATGCTGGTTAATTCTTGCCCCGTCCATGAGAGCTAACTGCAGTACAGGGAAGCCATATATGCATGTATTTGAGAGGGTAATTGCATGTATCAAACTGACATGACAGTATACATGCATCTATTAAATAAATTGTCAATTTCATTTTCACCTATTAAAGATCAACTTCAAGACTCTGCATATGATAATACAATCACATTTATTTATGCTAACCAGCCTGCTTAAATGACAGGTGGAGATCATCACAGATGATGAAGAAAGTTTTACTTGCAGCACTCCATGATCTCTGGGCTGACCCTAGGCAGTCACTTAATCTTTCATTATCTTCAATTCCCCACATGAAAAACCCTCATAACTGTGCTGCTTTTTTTTTTTTTTTTTTTTTTTTTTTTTAATGCATTAAGGTATCCAAATGATAGGAACTATGTAAACTGTAATAGGAACTATTGTTTGATTGGAACTATGTAAACTGTAATAGGAACTATTGTTACTGTAGATGTATTGATAATTTTGGATGTTGATTGAGCATTTAGCTGAACGGCTTCAAGAGCTGATTCGTATTTGTGACAAAGTTTTTTGAACATTTTAAAATGGATTCTCATATAATTATAATGAATATTTTAAAATTAATAAGTACTAAATAAGGCACAACAAACACAAATGATAATTCAGTAGCCAGAGTGATAATGTGAGTTCATTGGAGCTCGATCCCCTCTTCAAATATTAATTCACTTGCTGAATTATTCATTTCCTTATTTTATGAATTAATCGGTATCTTGGCAGTTTTGTAACTTGACATCTTTGTGTACAGCAAACCAGGCAGGGATATGACGGCATCTTACACTGTTCACTAGTCTCTAAAGGAGGAAATTTCCATTAGGTGACAAAAGTGTCACTGGAGAATGACAAACCATACTCTTAATTTAATTTCTTGTGTGCTCTTCGCTTATTCACTTGACATTACCAGTGACTTTGCATATGTTACACCTAAATATAATTAAATGTCCTTTTCCCATAGACTTGAGATGTTTAATTAGTGTTTTCAAAGTCATTTGTCCCTGTTGCTTTCAACCTTTCCCACACTGTGACCTTATTTGACAATATATTCCCTTCCCATCGGCACACAGCATGTAATTTTATGCCTGCTCAGGATAAAGGCAGGATTCAGACATTCTGTCTTTAAAAGGCAGCAAGATTATTCAGCTGCTTGAATTCAAGTCTAACCTACACATTCCCAGAGGAGCCACCAATTTCAAACACAGAAACAAAACACGCATGCTGTTGCTAAGGGCAAAACTGTTATTAGGTGCTGATTGATTACTGCAACAAAATAAAACCGAAGACACCAGAACTTGTCAGGACAAGTTAAATACGGGTTATGTGAAAATCCAGCCAGAGATTTTCTAGAGGTTACAATCTGAGGCAATTCCAGTTTAGAATGAAGCCTCTCTGTCTCTCTTTGTGCTCGGTCCTAGATGGTCTTTAAAGACCACCCAAAACACTCGGATCCAAACTCAAACCTCTTATACTTTCAGCAGGGCTTGTATACTTGCACCAGCACTTCTGCTCTTGACTATCTGCCTGGTAAAGTAGCTGCTGCATAAAAATAAATGTAAAGGGCTGCTGCTGAGGGAAGTTTCTCTCAGGTGTGACAAAAGCCATTCTGTGGTGCTCCTCTCAGTGTGCTTTTCTTTGTGTTTGGATTTCGTGTCAAGGGACATGGTTTAGTGAGTACTATTGGCGATAGGTGGATGGTTGGACTGGATCATCTTGAAGGTCTTTTCCAACCTCTGTGATTCTGCGATCCCTTCTCCTGGCCCAAGGGGAACACTGGTGAGGCTGGGGGGCAGCTGTCAGCGCTATACTGACGTTACCTAGTCACCCTCAGTGCTGCTGCCACCAGGACACCTCAGCGTCCAGAGATGGAGCAGAAATTGGTGGGCGTTACATCCAACCAAGAGCCACGGTGCAAGAATTCAGGTTATGAGATCGAGTCAGCGCCTCAACACGCCTACCTTCAGAGACGGGGCTGCTGAGAAGCCGGCTTTTCCTCTCAACCAAGTACTCAGGCACCTCTCGCATGCCGATTACTGCATAACGACTTGGCCCCAAGGTGAAAACTCCGCCTGGAGCGGCTGAGCGCCCTCCGCACCACGCAGCGGGCGAGAAGCAGCCGCCCCCTCACAGGGGCGCCCGAGCCACCTCTCCAACGGCTGCCAGCGTCACGTGACG